TTTTTTTTTTTTTTTTTTTTTTTTTGAGGAACAATAATGCATTGTCTTCGACTCAGCAAGCACACAACCTTGATTCTAATTGAGAGGATTAATTGTTTTAAGTAAAATCAAAGCCGAGGACGGGGACACGTGAGTCATGATTAGTGAGTCTCATGGTGAGCTCCATATTCCCGTGAAACCACCACGGCCTCACGGGGGCGTATGCAGTCAATAATGCTCAAGGGTGGAGTAGCTCTCTTTATCTAACACCATGATTGTGTGGTATGGCATACAGGGACGATAAATAGTACGTTTGTCAAATTGTCATGCATTGGTTTCGGCCCACTTATGAATTTTGTTCTGGACAAATTGATTTTCGGTTCCAAGCCCAAAATTTTATTCCTATATATATATATATATATATATTGAGAAGAAAAGATTTATTCCCATATTAGAAGAAGAACCACACAATTTAAAACATTATATAGGGTGAGAGAATGGGAAAGCAAAGAGGGAATATCCAGTACGTCTAATTGAAAGGTAAATTTGTGAACTTAAATACAATCTCATGGCCATAGTATATAGTCAGTTAGTCACAAGAATGTTAAGAGCACAGGAAAATATTATAATTGTATTTCTTTCTTTTAATTCTTTGAATATATTTAATAATAAGTTATATATATAAAAGATAATCCTTTATTGTTTTCAAATTCATTTTTCTTTCAAAGTTCGATTGTAAAATTTTAAATTTTAAATTTTAAATTTTTGACCAGTTAAATTACATGAAAGAATTTTTGTCTAATTTTATATCAATTTAAGCCAGCTAGAGTGTTTGAAAACATAATCCATAATTTGATTTTAAATTATTAAATAATAAATATCAATTATCAATTATTAATTATAACTATTACCTATTTTTGGTGGTCAAATAAAACACAGATATAGTATTTTTGTGCGGCCTTGGCACTTATTTGTGTGGCCAGTACCATGCTCCTTATCTCATGTATGTGGTATATAATTAGTCTGAATACTGATCTGATATTAGAGTCAAGGTTCCCCGTTGATAGCAGTGCTTGGATTGATTCCCTTAATCCAGATAAGCATCCCTTTATTCAGCATTAAACATTTGTTTAAGGCAAAGCATTCAAGAATACCCCCACTGAATTTGATGGCTAATTTAAAGATTTTAGACCTACGTTAGCTCAGAAAAAAATGGTTTAGGATATTGGATAAATAAGATATAAAAAAAGTGTAGGATATTGGACAAAAGTATAAAACATAAAAGATACCTCAGGCCTGGGAAAATCACTGAAGTGGAATTTCCAACAATGTCGTTAGAAGGGCAAAAAAGAAGAAATTCCCGTTGGCTTATGGTATAAGATTGAAGATTTTCCAAGGATTTGGGGGTTTTGAGTCTCTATTGTTATTCAAAGATGCCATGCCAAGAACTCCTTTATTAAGGTCCCTTTTGAAGAGCTTAAGAGTATCCTTGATTGCTTTAAAAGAAGAAGATGTTGGGTACGACAGTAAAAGTAAAACCCAGAAAAGTGCAGCTAGTGTTTGATCTTTTGGAGAGAATACAAGAAATGGCAAGATTTCGATCCAACAAATTTCTTACTTTCTAGGGTAGGTAAAACACTGTTCACAAACCAAATGAACCCTTTAGTAAAACTAAGTTCAATCCAGTGCTCCACATCATTTCCCTGCTGTTTCTAGGCTATGGCTGATTTAGTGTGTGATTTGATTAGCATCCTTCTCTTTCCTTGTTTTCAAAGGAAGTTCTTGATTCAGTATCAGAAACATCATAATATAAAGGAATGAGCAGAGCAAAGTGCAGAGTAAGATGAAATGAAATACGAAATGGTTAATTTCATTGTACACTACACATTGAACAAACGATTGAAGGCCAAAGGCACTCCATGCTCTACAATTATGGGGACAAAAGCAAAACTCCCACTAAACCTAAGGGAAAATTGTACGGCATCTGTTGCAGAAACAAATACAACTCTGAGAAAGAAGGAAAATGGAGCAAAAGCAATCACTTTGTCTAAGACAATTGCAATTGCAAGCTCCAGATATTTCCAAATTTCTCACACCCCATTTCAAGTATTCTTTATCCAACAATCTACCCCAATACAAATCCATTGCATAAAATCCTTCTAGGGTGTTATTGATGAAGGTATTTGCAAGAGAAACCCGCATGGGTGCATTGCAGCATGCAAGGTGTTTTCATGTCTGCATTATGATTGTGCTTCGAGTATTTGAATCAATTGCTGGAATGGAACTGCTTGACTATATATACAGGAGAGCTAGCACATACCTCAAACCTCCATTCATGTCACTGTTTGTTCTTTTAGCACCTGCTGCCCTGAATTTTGACAGGTCCAACGAGTCCCATGCCCTGGTAGCAAACGTGCTGTGCTGATTACACCTAGAAAGGCTTCTACCTCATTGGATTGTCCTTGTAAGCTTGCACTTGGAAATAAAGATGGTGTCTGTATAATTTAGCCTACATAACTTCAACAATTCCGCAGACCTTTGCTTCAGGGCAGGATTGCAACCACATTGAATCAGGAGCAGCTTTGCTCCTAGCCCAGCCTCTACAGCAACTGATGAACATTCCTCTGGGGCAAGTTTGCATACAGACCATAAAATGGACAATGCATATTGAGTACAGTTTTCTGAAAATCTCATTAGTAGCCTCACCAGGTTTGGAATTGTGTTAGGACAATCCTTAAGTGAACCTATTCCCTCTGGCAGGGAAGATAGTGTATCCAATACGAAAAGGGCCAATTCCAAGCAATCAGGCTCCAGAGCAGGTAACAGTTCAACCAATTGAGAAACAGCCCCAATTCTCACAATCAAGCTCCTAACTTCTTTAAGCAGGCATATCGATCCGAGTAGGCTAAGCCCTGGCAAAATTCCATTTGTGTGCCTCTTATCCTTCACCAGTCGCATTAGCCCAACCAACAAGCTATGGCTAGAGACAACCTCAGGTCGAAAATCCTTCTCCTCCATCAATTTCTCAATCAAATGTGTACAACTGATCTTTGTTTCAATTGACCCTTCATTCAACATATCCACCATCAAAGAAATCTTCGCAGGCTGCATCAAATTGGTTTTGGATTCAGAATCAAGTTCCAAATTTACAAGAATGCCAATTGCTTCCGAACCTACCGCATGGGAGGTGAATGGGCCCAACAACGATGAGATTACAGCAATCCCACCTTCTTCAACCACCGCCTTCCTAGCAGTGGCATGTGATGAAACAACTTGGTGGAGCTCCTTCAATGCCTGAACCCTTGCTTGACCCTTAACCTTCTTCAAGGTAATGAGAAGCTCACTTGCCCTTCCCTGCACGTCCTCAGACCTCTTCTTCATGAGCAAATACTTCTGGGAAAACCAAGTACAAATCAAATGATAAAGGGTCCTGTTGGGGGTAACAGAATCATCCCAAAGCTCTTGCATAGTTATGGGGCAAGTATAGTGCCCCAAATTGAACCATTTGAGAATGTTAGACCTCTCATAGGTTTGACCAGTACAAAGGGTAACAGGATCTTGCATTGGCTCGAGGGAGATTGGGCAGATAAACACAGGAGGAATGTCAGGCAAATCGAGCTCTTCAATCATCTTCTTCAGATCCAATTTCTCACAAACGGCAGCACCAATGACCCCGCCACCAACACCACCCAAAATCCCATCCTTCACTGCCGTATCCAGATCTAGAACCTGCCCATCACCGCTACCATCAAAGCCAGCAACAACACCATCCCTCCTTGAGGGTTGAAACATAGGCATCCTTGAAACCCCTTCTGAGAAAATACACACGAACAACAGAAATCCCCCAGAGAACAAAAAGGAAAGAAAAAACCCCCCCACTCTAATTCACTGCAGTGACAAACACCTTTGGACACACATTACAGCTAGGGTGCACATGGAAGGTGTGAGAAAGGGTAAAGAGGAGAAAAAAAAAAAAAAAAAAAAAAGCAAAAAAGTTGAAGCAACAATACTCTCTTTACTGAACACACACGCACATATCCCTCCCCCCTGTTGCTTTTTCTTTGCTTTATACCGATCTCTTTCTATGGTCAAAAGACTCATTACCATCATAATAACAGGCATCATAAACACATAATCAAGCTCCCATCTTTCACTTCTCCCTCAAGCTTCAGAAAAAAGGACTTGAAGCCTTGAACTGAATCATCAACCCCAAACACCCATCAGAGTAAAAGATACTAAAGGAAACAGTGAAAGCTCAACAGTGCACAAAGAGTACAAAGTTAATCAACCAACACAGCACTTCAAACCCCCCCAACAAAAATGGTTCAGAAATTGAGAAAATTAACAACGACCCAGATTAAAAAAACCATAAAACCATGAAAATCTAGAGAAGACTGTGAGCATGAAAAAGGCATAAAAGAAAAATCTAAAGAGGGGTATACCGCCATGGTGGAGAGAGGAGAGAAAAGCCATTTTCCTGCAGAGCCTTCCCCACTGCTCTTCTTTTGGGACAGTTGTTTACTTGAAAAACCCTTCACGGAAAATAATAAAAATTAATAGTATAATAATAAAATCCTGTGACTAAAATTAAATTATTAATGCAAGCAGAGCCAAGTGGGTTTTTTTTTTTTTTTTTTTTCGAATTAATTACCTGGAAGATGAAATTATCGGGTAACCGGGAAGCTGGGGTTGGAGCCGGTACTTCAGCCCCTCGACCCGCGCACCACACGTGCAGTCATATCACATCTTCCCGTAATCGCCCGCTTCTATGTTTTGTCACTGTTGTGTTTCCTCTATTTACGCGGCTCTTTAACATTTTCTAATTACCACTATGTCCTTTGGCTTTTAAAAAAATCACGTACTAGTACTATTATTTTGGATTCCTTTCCACGTAATAAATCAAATCCAAATGTTCTTAATTTATTATTTAAATAATAAAGTATTATAAAATAAAAATTATTAAATCATAAGAAAATATTTTAATATTAAATATTTATTTTTATTTAGTGATTTAAGTTATATTTTTATTTTAAATTAATTATTTTTTTATTTTTTAAAGTAAATATTTTTTATTTTAATTCTATTATTATCAATTTATTTTAATCATTCATTTAGTCACAAATTTTAACTTTATTATTTATTTATTTTTAAAATTATTAAAAAGTATAAATATTATTTTAAAATTTTTAATTTAAAAAAAAATAAAAATTAACAATTATTTTGAAAATAAAGAGAGTACTAAATTGTACAATAATTTTATTATTCTAATAATAATTCAATTCCTCTTTATTAAGATTACAGTAAAAATTAAAAGATAAAAATTAAGACATTAAAAAGT